CAACAACAACAACAACAACAACAACAACAACAACAACAACAACAACATGAAAACGCAAGACATACATAATATTTAATAGTGAACCAACCATGAACAAACAGCCAATGATCTCTTCCCAAACCGTTTGGATCCCTCCTTCGCCGACCTCCTTCGCCTAAGAGGTCGCCGCCTAAGAGGCGCGCTCTTAGCGCCTCGCAGGTCCTTGGGCGACTTCTTGGCCACGTGGCTCCAGGGCGCTTGCGTGGCGCTGGCGCGTTGGGGTCTGCCGCTGGGACGGTCCTTGGAGGCGACCCAGGCGAGCCACGCTGCGACCTCGGTGCATCCACGGAAGACGAAGCAGACCAAACGGGCTGGCTGGCTGGCTGTTTCAGCGGCCTGAAGAGGTTGAGCTCGGAACATCTGGATCGAAAAAGAGATTCAGTTCATTTCAGTATTCTGAGATATTCTTCTTCCTGGATGGCGATTGTTTGAAAGGCACCACCTCTTGATGCTTGGATCAAGGTTCAAGCGACTCCCGCCCATTTGGCCACAGTGGAGGCTGGGTGCGGCGCCGTCGGACCCGTCGGGGGGTGTCTTTTCCTCCTCGTTTCGGATCGCATCTTCCCGGTGGCGAGGAATCGTGGGAGCGATGGGCGTCCAAACTGAGCCTTTTCGGAATCGTTTTCGGTGTCTGTCCTTGAACGGATCCAGGCTCAGCGTCAGCTGAAGTTGCGCACCGTGGCATTGGGAGGCGTGGCGAAGTGTTCGGCGGGGGCGTGGCGAACGGAAACAAGAAGGACCCGAAAACCCACAAAGGCGTGCAAACCGCATGGGATTGATATGCTTCTTCAGTTCCTGCACGTTTTTCCGTGGATTCTACGTGATTTGGCGACTTGACGTGCAGGTGAACTGATGCCTCAGCAGCTGCTGGAGGATTGGGCCGGGCAGGTCCGTGTGGCAGCTCAGGGGTACCGACCAACCCAACACCGTCGACTGACCAGCTGAGCTGATGGATGGATGCAGACTGTGTGACACACCCCGCACCCTGTGAAGACATGAGGACGAACGACCCAAATGGACAAACAAATACCCTTGGAGTCAAAGACTATAAAAAGAATGGTCGTGACGGGTGACCCGAACATATAGTCATTTCCCCTACTTCAGTCCGTCAAAATATCGTCGAAATGGACTTATAGGGAATCTTTAAACCAGGACCTTCCCAGTGAGGTCACTTAAGACTGTAAAGGGTCAGGAAAACCAATCCTGAACAGGTCACTGGGAAGGTCCTGAAACATGTACTGTATTTTGTCACATCCAGACCGAAACATGCTTCTGATCTTCTTCATTTTTTGAAGAACAACCGCTGAGGCCTACTGAACACCTACGGCGTGACGGAGTGCACCGTCTACCAGGCCGCTGCCCAGCTGCAGCTGGACAGCTCTCGGCGAGCGCTGGGGCGTCCGCTTCCGGGGATGCAGATGGTCCTGGCGGCGAAGAAAGGCCCGGCGACCAAAGCCGAGCAGCAAAGGATTCTGCAACGGATTGCACGGTGAGGGATTTTTAGGCTCGGGTTAAACCCCTTTTCATCATTGTTCATCCCTCTTCCAGGTCATGTCAAACATTGGACAGTGGCATCAAGCAGGCTTGTCAGAAAGAATCTTTCCACCTCCATGTTGGATCATAGCATATTGGGTGTTAGTGTGGGGACGCCAGCAGCCCAGCATGCCAAGCCAGGCGATGATCCCACCGACTGCGTGCAGGCACGAGAGTGGGCGACTGTGGGCCGAAGAGAGTCTGAAAAAGGAGACCGAGACCAAAGAACCCTGTGACTTTGTGACCTATGACCGTGGTGATGTTTCCCCAGAATCAGAAAGGACATGTAGGGATCCACAAAGCTTCGACACCAGTCCACCAGTCCAAACATCCTCGCAACCATGACTCATTGAATGATATTGACTGGGTAATAAGCTGATTTGGGATGATTTAGGGAACTGCAACCGTCTCTTTGCCCGGACTCTCCGGCTTAAGATCGCGTTCTTCCGCGCACAGGAGGGGAGTGAGGAGATTGGAGAGCTCTGGATCGCAGGGCCACAAGTGGGTCTGGGCTATTCGAGGCGAGAGCGGCGGAGCGAGCGGAGCGAGCGACGCGGCGGACGATCAGCGCCGTTGCCTTCCGAACGGTCCCACCTTACGTTGATGGCGACAACAGCCATCGCTATCTGGGGGGCGGGACGCCATCGCGATGGTTGGGGGATTTGGTGGTTTGAAGAGATGCTGCGAAGGAAGCGGCGTGGGATCTTGCGACGGTGTGGGATCAAAAGCTTGGTCGTTTTATTGCATGTTATTATTCACAACGTTTCAAAGGCAAGTCGTGGGAAAGAACATTTGGGAATTCATGGGAATTCGATTTCTGGTTGGCCACAGCATGGACGAGACCCTTATACTTTTCACATTTGGCCAACAGTTCCAAATCTGTACAGCTCCCACCAACAAAAATCTGTTCATGTCAGTCAGAAGCGGTTTTAGATGGTTTTAGGAGATCTCACCTGAAACTGTGCCGAGTTTCATCTGCATCTCTTCTCCTCTAAGGCGCCCAGAGCTGACTGTGGAGCGTTTCCACGAGCGTTTCCACCACTTGGGCCGATGCTTTCGAAGCGGCTCTGGAGCGAACGTAGAAAAACTGGAGCACTGGGAAAGAGCTGGAGCTCTTGGAATTGATGAAGTACTTATATACTGTAAGTGGAGGGAATCCAACAAATTTTTGGACAATTCAGCTACTGATACTGGGCGAGACTCGTGTCTTTCTTCAGACGGAAGTTGCACTACACCCAAGATCCGTTTTTTCAGACTAGCTCAAGTTGCATGATGGACCACCCCAAAAATGCGAAGCTCGATGAATCCGTGAAGCACGGCTTGCGACCTCCCCCGAGCGACGGCGCGCACGGCTCTGGGCTGGTTGCCGCGACGCTCGAAGAAGCGCATGTCGTCGTCGGGATGAGGCGGCGACCTGGCTGTGGCGAAGTGCCCGTCGGATGCAGGCCCGGAACTCCAGAGGAAAAGGCCCTTCTCGTGTCCTCGCGAGAGGTTTCGGCGGCTTTTTCTGCGACTTCTTTTGCTTGAACTTGGAGGAGGTGGTTGTGGTTTGGCTGTGTCCACCATGTAGCTTGACCGTACTGCCCGTAGGTGGACCCAAGTCGAGAGAAAGCGACAGGTGCAACGTGACTGAGCGTTGCATGAACACCATGTCAAAAGGAATGAACACCATGAAGGCGCACCACCATATGTTTAGGTATATATGTTTGCCATGTTTCGGCAGGCTTTACCATGTTTTCCCCTCCTTCTTCAGGCTGCGGCTGGCAACTTCTAGGTCGTCGGGATGGCATGGTGTGGCCCGGCCGGGAACGGTTCAGTCCATGCCGCGCACGGACGGCTTGTGGCAGGTCATATGGGGAGATCACAAGCCCGTCCTTTTAGTTCGTTCTTCCATGTTCTTCTCAGGATGAGGGAAGCTTCCAACAAAGGAAGGGAGGGACAATTCTAGCAGGAAGGCTTGTCCGGGCAGGTCCTTATACCCACCAAACACACCTCTCTTATCGGTAAACATCGGTAATCCTCCACCAACAAAGGGTAAAATCTGACACTCAGGCTTTTGACACTCAGGCTTGGCAATGCTTGACACTTAGGCTTTTGACATGTTTCCCATTCCAAGAATTTACAGCACTCGAGAACAACTTCTCAATCAGGCTCGATCCTCTGAGAAAAAGGCATCGACTGTCTATATCGACCCTTCAAGGTCACTTTTGGTTGCTTCTTCAGGCCATCTCCAGTCCGCTCAATCAGCTCCCGCTGGTGAGGAAGCTTCGAGGTCGTCGAGTGGAGCTGGGGGAGATTGAAGAGGTGCTCCTGGCTGCAGCGTCGCTTGGCGCTTGCAACGGTCGCAGCTGGCGGTATTTTCTGAGGGGGAACGTTCTATCTCAGTGTTTCCGGGTGGACCACTATGGACCAATGGCCGGAGACTGTGGAAGATCAACTTCCACGACCTTCTCAGTGACCTCTTCAGGATTGGTAAGTTGATCAAGTGTTACCTCCAGTTTGAGTGTGAAGTACCTTGTTCAAGTTCACCATAGTGTTCAATCGCCGCGGCCCAAGCTTCGGGGTCCCGCCACACTTACCTGCAATGTCTGCCTCGTTGGAAAACTAGCTCTCCGCTACCACTGGCGTACGCGTCAGTGGTAGCGGAGCCCCTGGTTCTAGCTCCATGGACCGACCTACGCCAGACACGGTGGTTGAGGGCTACAGTGCCCAGACGGTGGATGAGTTCGCAGGGGATGTTGGCGATGCTGATGCCAGGCCTGAGGCTCGGAGAGAAAATGGTAGGGCGCCCTCGAGGCGCGAGTGGACAGACGACGAGTGGGCCGAGTGGAATCGATGGTCAGGGGGATGGTGGACTAGGACGGGCAGCTACTGGTCGTCCTATTCCACTGGTGGGGACCAACCTGGACGGAGCAGTCAAGGACAGGCTGAGGCAGCTTCTCATCCTGCTCAGGGAGTGACTGCGCATGTTCCCGGACAAGATTCGCGCTCAGATCCTCTTCAGGTCTCCGACCCTTGGCGTTCCTACAGTGACGATCACTCTAGGTGGCGCCAAGGTTCCGACAAGTGGTGGTCTTCTTCGAAGGGAGATTTCTCAGAGCCTCCCACCTGGGCTGGATGGCAGCACTACAGGTTGTGGAAGAGGGCTATCCAACGATGGCATCGCAACACGGACGTGCAGATACATCGAAGAGCTGAGAAGGTGTTGAAGACCATGGAATGGAGCCTCCAGGAGAAGTTCGAGCACCTTGATGAGGATCGGCTTTCGGGACCGCAATACCTGGAGGACATCCTCAACATCCTGGACAATCAAGCTGGAGAGCGAGAAGACAGCGAGAAACGTCGCTCGGTGCGTGCCGCTTTGTATGAAGGCGGCCGACGGGGAGACGAAAGCTTGGCTCAGTACGCTGCTCGTCGGGACGCTCAGTTTCAGATGGCGGCACAACACCTCCAGCTTCCGGACGAGCTGAAGGCATACATGTTGGAGGAGCAGGCCAACCTGTCTAAGCAATCGGCCCAAAACCTTCGTGTCCTTACCGAAGGAAAAGCTGATTACCAGCGCGTGAAGAAGGCCCTCCAGGTCATTGACGTCGAAGGAGAATCCCTCTTCAAGTCCGGCAAGACGACGTTCTTCGAGACAGAGAACTACATGGCCTCCTCCCTCAACGAGGAGAATGACTCCGACGAGGACGACGACTTCCCGCCGGAGCTTCGCGACGAGATCGACGCCCAAGATATGGACGAAGAGCAGGTGATGAGTTTTCTCTCACTTTGGGAAGCGGGCCAAACAGGCCGGAAGCGAACCTGGAGTGAGAACAAGCTCTTGAAGGCCGCTCGCAAGAAAGACCGGAGGCATTTTGATGACAAAGGAGAGAAAGCAGAACGACCAGTCCCTCGCCGCAGGCTGCCAGTCTCCGAACTGAAAAAGATCACCAGGTGTAGCAACTGTGGCATGCGAGGACACTGGAGAGAAGAGTGTGTGAGGCCATATCGCTCCAGGTCAGAGCGTGAGAAGACCGAGGGTGGAATGAATGCCAATGCCTCCACCAAGGGCCCCTTGAACGCCTTCGTGTACCTCGGACTGGACGAGACCGGCGCCTCCTCTTCCTTCAGTTCGTACTTTGGTTCATTTCTCTCACTCTTTTCCGTGCCAGCTGGTCATGCCATCATTGACCCCGGCGCAGCTCAAGATCTCATTGGTGAAAAGCACTACCAACAGTTGACACAACGTCTTCGAGAGGTCGGCCTGCAGCCCATTGAGCTTGACGAGAAGCCTCCCGCTGCCTGTGGAGTCGGCGGAAACGCTACGGCCCTGAAGACGGCACTTTCTCCCTGCATTTTAGGCGGGAAGCCGGGAATCGTCCGGCTCATCGTCATTGAAGGGGACGTCCCGCACCTTTTGTCGATCGGTCTGTTAGAGAGAGCAGGCACGGTCATTGACACGTTTTCTGATCAGATAGCATTCAAGAATTTTGGAACGGAAGCCAAAATGAACAGGCTACCCTCCGGACATCGCACCATTGACATTGCCAAATGGGAAGGAGGCCCTTTTCCTGTGCCGCCAGAGGTACAGAAGGCCTTCAATCTTTCTCCCGGTGCTTTTAATGCCCCGGAGCCCGCCGTCGAGAGAGCATACATGGCTGCCTCGTCCGTGTCAGAGAGTGAACGAAATTTGGTTCTTGAGGCTTTAGGTCAGAGGAATCAAGAGGGTTGGACAACAGACTGGACCGGACGACCAGCACTTTGCATTCCCACTTGCTGTGTTTCAGGCAAGAGGTTCGAAGAGGTCAGTCATGAGTTGTGCGCAAGCTTTCCGTTCCGATCGTCTTGGCATGTCGTTTTTCATTCAGATCGACCTCCATCTGTTTTTCCAAAGGAAACAAACGCTGCCTCACACAACGTCGATGAAGTTAAACGGGATCTCGCAACACAGATGGAACAGATAACTAGAACCGCTGTTAGTAAGAGAGGGGTGTTCATTTCCATTTTCTCGTCAACTCAGTCAAGGGAAGCTAGCCTTGGCCGCTCCGATGCAGCCTCAAGCAAAGAAAGCCTGTTTGAGCGATCCTCACTCGATCCTCATGGCGTCTGCTCCGTCAGAAATGATGGAAGCCCGACGACGTGCTGTGCAGAGCACGGGGCCTCCCCCGGCTCGATGGTTTCAGATGACTCGAAAGATGTTGTTCCAACACCATGGGCCGGGCAACATCCCTGTGCCGCTCTTGGAGGACGGCGCCTCGCCTCCACTGGCGGACCAGCGAGCGATCCCTCCTGCGGAACACTGCCCTCACCCCATCACCTCAGTTGCGACGGGCCGCAACCAGTATGGGGAATGGAAACGATGCGTGAAATGCTGCACCAAGATTCGCTTCCCGAGGTACGGAACGGCAGGAGCTCCAGCCGCGCCGTCGCCAGGGAAGAAGGCCTCTCGGAAGGGGACGACGGCGATTGCCTACCAGACCGTGCCGGTGCCAGTTCCTGTCCCAGCGATGGGACCGCCGGCCGGAGCTTCCTCTTCGAGCGAGGGCATCTCCTCCGTGGAGTTGAGGGCCGCGATGGAGCAGCAGTCTCAGGAAGTGATGGCTTCGACGACGACCACTATGAACCAGCTGCTGGGTCCGGTTATGGATGCCGTTCAGCAGATGTCCATGGCCCAGCAGCAGATGCAGGCCTGGATGGTCCAGCAACAGACCATCATGAACATGCATGCCCAGCAACAGGCCATCATGTCGCCTGCGATGGATCGCGAGATGGAGGAGGAGTGGGACGATGTTTTGCCGGAGGCTCGGAGCCCCGACGAGCGCTGAGAGTGAGGAAGACGCCCCAAAGTTTCACAGTTTTGCCTAGTTTGAAGAATTTGAGCCTTAATTGTATAGATGCCTCTCAATGGTTCTTTTGCACTCTGGGCAGGGCTAGCTTGCGTATGATGATGTGTTCGGAAGTCACGAGTTGGTTCACTTGTTCGATCGGGGATCACCTCCTTCTCATCTTCTGTTCTCCCTCTTGGAAACTTGACTTCGATGCCGGTGAGTTCAGTGATTTTTGGGAGGTTCAGTTGACTCGTGCACAGAAACGCATCGTCGCAGAGACTGTCAAGACTTTTTTGAATCACGAGGTAGACACTAATTCAAAGGTCAATTCTTGTCGAGTTGAACTACAGAAGCACCACGAACGCATGTTTCAATTGTTTAATTCGCTCTACGAGAGCGGCTCGATCGAGTTCACAGCGGAGGTTGGAGGTCAAGAGCCTGGGAGCCAGCCAAGAGAAGTGGAGGCGGACGGTGAAGAGCCTGATGGCATTTTAAGAAAAGAACAAGAGCCAGAGAGCCGATCAAAAGAAAAGCAAACAGCCAGCCAAGCGGAAGAGGCGAGAACCGCGCCCCCCGTTTCCGGCGCGCACCTTAGCCCTTCGGGGCTTAGTTTCCGATGCCCCATTAGTTGTCCCGACCTCCGGGAAGTGTTCAGCCATGGCGATGGAGATGGAGAGTCGCGGGAAAGGCCTCTCAAGCTGCTGGAATTGTTCTCTCCACCAAGGTTAACGGAGAGAGCCGCCGATCATGGGATGAGGACAACAACTCCCCCAGCCTTCGACCTGGAGAACGGTTGGGATGTTTTCTGTGCCAGAGATAGAGTTTTTTTCTGGAAGGTCATGAGAGAGCAGAGTCCAGACATAGTCATGATGTCTCCGGAGTGCAAGGCTTTTTGCGCTCTCATGGAAACCAATTGGAGCCGCATGGACCCCAAGGAGGCCAAGAAGCTTCAGACCAGAGGTTTAGCTATGCTTCAATTCTGCATACAGGTGGCCGAATACCAACTGTCAAGTGGCAAGTGGTTTTGCTTGGAGCAACCCACCTCGGCGAGCAGCTGGAGCACTCATGGCATGGCTTGGCTTCTTCGCCAGGAGGCCGTGATCAGAGTTTCCTTCCATCAATGCATGACTGGACTGAGACTGCGACCTGAGGGACCATCCAGGAAAGACACTTCCTTAGTGACCAACCACTTGGGACTAGCCGCCCTCTTATCGGAGTACCAGTGCAATAGAGAGCATGAACACGTTCAACTGCAGAATGGATTGCCGCATCATGCACGGGTTTATCCAGATCAGCTGATTGACCTCCTTCTACAAGGTTTTTCTTTGTCCGCCGTTCCTTTGAGCTGCTGCCTGGGTAGTTTTCCTGCCGAAGTGAGCGAGGACCTTGAGGCCAACGCGGAGGACGACGAACAAGAAGATGCCCCTTCTCCTCCAGCAGCCGGGGAGCTTGCAAGAAGAGAGGAAGAGCAGCTGACCGCAGAACAGGTGAAGAAAGTCAAACTTCTTCACGTCAACCTAGGCCACATCTCGACAGAGCAAATGTTGGTCCTCCTAAAGTCAGCAGGAGCCAAGAACTCAGTGATGAGTTATGTCAAAGATGACTTCAGCTGTGAACAATGTCAGCGACAAAAGAAACCTGTGGAGCGGAGGAAAGCAGCCATGCCTCGTACTTTTTCCTTCAACAGGTACATAGGTGTTGACATTTTTTACGTTGCAATGAAGGGCAAGACCATGGCTTTCCTGAACATTATCTGTCACGGAACGAATTTTCAGCAAATTGAGTGGATTAAGGAGTGTGAAGTAGGTACTCCCTCGTCCAAGAGCGTTTGGAGAGCCTTCCTCTCAACCTGGCTGAAGCCTTTCGGCAACCCCGAAGTGTTGATGTGTGACGGCGGTCCAGAGTTCAAGGACACCTTCGAACGGCACCTGGAGCAATTTGGGATCCTTCAGGTGGTGAGCGATGCAGCATCTCCTTGGCAGAACGGCCGTGTCGAGAGACACGGAGGTTGGTTGAAAGAGAAAGCCGAGAGTGAACTCTCCTCCGGAAGTAGCATCGTGAGGACACAAGACGATCTCCACGAACTGATGTCAGCCCTAGTTGCCAGCAAGAACAGATGGTTCAATGTGGGGGGCTATTCCCCATACCAGCTTGTTTTTGGAGCGAACCCTTCAATACCTTTTGATCTTTTGAGTGAAGCAAGTCAAGAGGTACCATGGCAGGACATGGTCGCCGAGCCCTTCGACTTGGATACTGCGGGAACAGCATTCGCCAAGTCCCAGCGCATTAGGCAACGAGCTCGAAAGCTTTGCGTTCAGTTCACCTCAAGGGAAAAAGTTCGCTTGAGCACGGCACACAGACCACACCGACAAGTTCAGTGGGCACCAGGTCAGTGGGTATTGGTTTGGCGAAGGTCAACACAATCCGGTGGCGGTGGTCATATTACACGGTCCAGACGGGTTGGTCCTGGGGTGGTCATTCTGCAAACTGGACACACGGTCTTTGTTTCCATGCGATCTCGCCTTTGGAAATGCAACACAGACCAACTTAGACCAGCCACACACTTCGAGTCTGTTGGAGCAGAGCTAGCTAGAGCAGGCGAGCTACAAGGTCTTCTTCAGGCTGGGCAACGTGCCAAGGTTGGAGCTCTAGACGTGTCTATGGAAGGTTCACCTCCCGATGAGGCTTTGACGCAAGAAGTGCCAGACCCATCCCAGGCGCACCCGTCCGTGAGCGAAGCGCCTGTGATCTCCAGACCCTCCAAGGCTAGGGCAGTGGACCCACTGCCCACCATCCCAGAGGAGGCCCCAGTGACAGGACCTGGCGTTGGCCAGTTGTTGAGGCACACTTCTCCCTTTCCCAACACGGAAGCCGAGTCGAGAGCCACCGTCTCTAGAAGAACAAGTCACTCAGAGCAAACAGTTGACGAACCAAGCATGGAGCCAGGTCCAGAAGAGCAACCCGACAAGAGACGAAGAGTGTCCACAAGCAGCTCAGTCCTAGACCAATCAGGAACTGTCAGGCAACGTGTAGCTGAAGTAGATGAAGCCGAGAACCTGAGGCTTCAAAAGATAGCAGAAAAGGAGTTGAGACGTCTAGATCGAGCCGACAGACAGGAGAGACTGCAAACGCTGCGGAGCCAAGCGGCAGCCTCCACCGACTCTCTGTTACCAGACTCAACGTCCTCCAGTTCCAGAACTGGCTTGGAGCTCCCGGACCAAGCCTCACCGGGCTTAGATAGAGAGCCCGAATTGTTTTGCTTCAGCGCATGCGAGACGACAAAAGTTTCCCTGATGGTCAAACCAGTGAACCCCAAGAACTCTGAATTCGACATGAGCAGTGCCTCTCCTGAAGAGATCGAGGGCTTCAAAGTCTCAGATGCGTTGGAGTGGAAAACCATCGAAGACTTGAAAGCTGCTAGGGTGATCACCGGAAAGGAGGCGTCAGATGTCAGAAAGCAGTTCTCAACCAGGATCATGAGTTCCAGAATGATCCGTCGAAAGAAACCCATGCCTGGCGTTGGAAATTGGAAGTTCAAAAGCCGTTGGTGTCTTCATGGGCACCACGATCCAGACAGCGGAAGCTTCAAGACTTTTTCACCTATGCCAAGTGCAGAAGCCATCAATCTGTTTTTTCAGTTGGTGCTGAACATGGGTTTCCTCATTTCATTTGCAGATGTGCAATCAGCTTTTTGCCAATCAAAACCTTTGAAGAGACCACAAGGCAGATTGTTTGCTGAACCCTGCTCAGGATTGAACCTGCCCGAAGGAGCCTTGATCGAGATCATCGCCCCAATATACGGTCTTGACGACGCCCCTTGGTTGTGGCACGAGACACTGCAGGAGTTTTTCGGCGCTCTAGGATTCAGGCCTTGTCTCCTAGAGTCCTGCTGGCTGATCAAGGAGGACAAAGGCAAGATTGTAGCATTTGTTCTAATAGAAGTTGATGACTTGAATATTGCTGCCACTCCGGAATACTTTGAACTTCTTCGGACCAAGCTCACCGAACGTTTCAAATTCGGCAAGTGGGAGTTTGGAGAGGCTGATTTCGCGGGTCGACATGTGAAATTTGAATCTGACAGAGTTCTCATGGACCAGGAGAAATACATCCTCGAAAAATTGCACACAATCAAAGCTCCGAAGGGGCACTACAACAACAAAGAGCAACAGCTTACGGGAGACTTGTTTGAGCAGTACAGATCCATGTTGTACAGGGTGAATTGGCTTGCACACCAGACGAGGCCTGAAGCCGCTGGAGCAGTGAGCATCCTTTCATCCAGGTTGAACAAAGCCTCACTGTACGATCTAGGTTGCTTGAATCGAATGGTGCAACACATCAAGGGAACAGCCTCTCAGCCTCTTGTTCTTCATCGATTTGACAATGACAAGATGTTGTTCATATCGGCGTCTGACGCCGGGGGAGTTGGAAGTAAACCACCAGTGCCAGATGACCCAGGAGAGCTTACTGACACTGTGCAAGGAGCCTGGATAGTCTTCATTGCAGATCAGGTTCCCAGTGCTTCCCGAAGGGTGAAGGTGTCAACAGTCTCTTGGAGGTCAGCCCGGTTGAAAAGGAAAGTCTCTTCCACTCTGGCGAGTGAAACCTTGGCTCTCTCACAGTCCTTGTCAGAAGTCGAGTGGCTTCAGATGATTGTTCGAGATGTGCTGTTTGGAGATGTCAGTAGATCGGAATGGCACAATCAAACCAGACCATACCTGGCAGTACTCAACGAGCAAGGCGAGTTGAGAGAAAGACTAGGCCAATGTTCCATCACCGACGCAAAGCCCCTCTTCGACAGCTTAGTGAAAGGAGACCCATCCTCAAGACAAGATCGTCGCACAGCGATAGAAATAGCGATAGTGCTTGAAGCTCTAAAGAGAGCAGGCTCCACGATCCGATGGTCACCACACCCCCGCATGGTGGCTGATGCTCTCACCAAGGCCGACGTCAGCTGCAGCAATGGGGCTCTAGAGGAAACATTGAGGACCTCCCGATTAAGCCTTTGGGATGAAGCTTCTGAGCTCGAGAGGCGAAAGATGAACCCGAACTCTCGGTTGCGCTCAAAGAAGGCGTCCAGTCAATTTAGGGAAGACACCACTTGGTGGGTGAACTTGACCAACAAAGATTTGGGGGAGCTGATCAAGTGTTACCTCCAGTTTGAGTGTGAAGTACCTTGTTCAAGTTCACCATAGTGTTCAATCGCCGCGGCCCAAGCTTCGGGGTCCCGCCACACTTACCTGCAATGTCTGCCTCGTTGGAAAACTAGCTCTCCGCTACCACTGGCGTACGCGTCAAAGTGACCTTTTCAAGGCCTAAGTGACCTTATTCTGGGATCTCAAAAGGTCACTGAGAAGGTCCTGGTTGGTGGTTTTTGTGTTTCCTTTTCAAAGAGATCTTTAAGACTGCGGGTGCCACGATGGTTTTCTGGGCAAGCACAATACTCTTGACTCTCCGCAAGGGTCTTTTCGGGGTAATTACAACGGTGGGTGGCACCACAACAAGGCTTTGCTCAAGCATATGATATGACGAGAGGTAGTTGAAGGTATTTGATGGTATTTGTACCTATAGTACCTGTTTGCCCCTTGCTTAGGAGTACCAACCCAGCACCTTTCAACGGGGCAACCCAATATGTGTCGTCTTACGAAGTGCGGATCTCCTCCTGGCTTTCGCCACGGTCCGTGGTGCATCGTTCGCATCGGCGCCCGAGGCCTGAGTTGTTGGTGTCCCTGGCAGCGGTGCTGGCCGATCGCATGCTGCTGATCTATTGCGTCTTACGAGGAGCGGGTCCACAGGCTCCCCCCCACGGCTCGGGAGAGCGCGGTTCCCACATCTCGGGATCGTGCTTTTTGGAGGCTCCCTGCGATGATCATACATTTGCTCCCTGCTTCATGATTCATTTCTTCATCACTTCCATGTGCTTTTTCGCTCATCTTTCGAGCTCCCACCTCCCAAATCGAACGACAACGAACGAAGCTCACTTCGACCCGGTTCCGCAGTTCCGCGTGACTCACCGTCTCAGGAGATCCCTCCGAGGCGGTGCGGCGCGTGAGCTGCGCCTGGCTGCGGCGGCTCGCCGCAGAGCGCTTGCCGAAGCACATGGTGCCAGCGCGGGTGGTGGCCATCGATGCGATGCCGCTCACCACCAGTGGCAAGGTAGGAGAGATGGGGAGAGAGATGGGAGAGGATCATTGGAGTGCGTACAACCACAGCACGTTGTTTAGTAATTATAAAGACTTAGGATCATGTAGAGAGACTCATTAATCACTCCATATGAAGGGGTCATGAATCAAGAGTCTACATGAATTAGAGGTTTTGGGCATGGTTCCTGCGCTGCTTCACGACTTCGTGGCAGCCTGGCAGAGGCGGAGAGTCGGAGGATTCAACCGGGGTTTTGGCCCCAAACTAATAGCTTGTCTTTGAACTGACACCCATAGATCTTGCCACCCCAGTTGAACCAATAGAACTAATAGCTTGCCCCAAACTAATAGATCTTGCCAACGAATGCCAACTTTTTGTTGCCTAACTGGACTGTTGTTCGATGACAATGCAACCAATTTGTCATAGTTGGAAGATCCAGGTGTAAGAAGTTGAACATGGGAACAACGTACTGAAGTGCCATAATGATCTATCCATGAAGTCCGGCTTTTTCATCTCCAGACCCTCCAGACCCGCCAATTCTTTCAAGTGACTAGACCCTCCTGGTCGAATGTGAATCCTCCAGGTCTCGCGCAGGCAGCTGGCCGAACGGCCCCTGTCCTGGGAGGATGCATCAGGCGGCGCGCTGAAAGGCTCTGAGTCAGCAGAGATGATTGCAGCTGCTTGGCGCGAGGCCGACGCGGCCAATGGGAATTCATGGGACTCCATGTCTTTGATGAGATGGTTTCTGTATGTTTCTGTCCTGAATCCCAAGTTACCCATGGTGAGTTACCCATGGTGAGAGCGATCTTTTCTAGCCTGATTGTACCTGATTTGATCTTGGAAGTGACAAGTGACAAGCATGATCAGATGTACATCCGAAGAGCACACATGTACACGCAGACTGGGTGAAAAAGCTATCTTGCAGGGTGACCATCCATGTACAAGCTGCGTTGGTTTAGCAAGGGGCCCAGACGGTCATATCTTCTAGAGCCACACAAATATACAATGCTATCTGAGTTGGTGAACAGGAACTGCCAGATTCCTCACAATGGGTTCTACCAAATGGACCAAATGGAGGCCAAAACACTCCTGGATCAGGCCCTGGCCGCACCCCCGCGCGACCCGCGTGCGGCAGGTGCTACAAGTCCCTTGTGCTTCGAAGCATGGCAAACTTCTTGGCGCTCGGCGGCGATTCCATGGCTGCTTTGCGAGTCTGTCAGCAGTTGGCCACCAGGCGAAGTCTGTTCGAAGTCTGTTTGGAAAGATGATCATTTGATTCGATCAAAGGAGCAAGCCGCAGCCAGACATAGACCTGGTCGCAAGAGAGGTCCCAGCTCTCTCCATCTGTTTCTGGCTGCACAGGTGCCTGGCTGGTGCTTCAAGTGGTGAATTTGGGGAAGAGCTTCCAGAGCCTCTGTCACCTGGCCCGGCGGCCCCGACCGGCGCGAAAGAAGCGGCGGCCCCCGGACAGTGATGAAACGCAAGGGGTTGAAAGATGGAGGTCTGCAATGAATGAACACATCCTTCATCATCCCCCCACAAGTTTTGACCGGCTTTTGTTGCTGGTTTTCTTGGCCAGGCCACCTAGGCGCTGGCTGCCCTACCAATGTTTCGTGTTGTGCTACCCCCTGTGCCCATACCCCAATGTAGTCAAAAACGGCATACCTGTCAGTTTTGTGCCATTGACCCTGCCATTGTGGTGATACCACTAACACCTTTTTCATGCTTTTTCCAACCTGGTGGAATGGATGCTTTCTGGACGATGAAGCGCCCAGCGCCGTGCCTCGACGTCTCGCACGGGGTGAGGCTTCCGCTGCACTTGCTGAATCGGCCATGCTTGGTGGACTTTCTTCAGCATTTGCAGAGATCTTCTTTGGGTTCGTGGTTTTCAGATCCTGAAGTGACGGAGGAGGGATTTCTGGTGCCACACCAAGTGAGAGTGAGAAATTCTCTTTGAAAGATGCTTTGTCTCAGGCAACAGATTGAACTGAAAAGCTGAATTAACAGCCTAGCTGTTATTGGTTGTGGCAGGACATGCAGGAGGATGAAGAGGAGGAGGAGGGGGAGAAGAAAACATTCGATGGGGAGCTTTCTATGTCAGAGATTCTTCACCATGCAGCCGGAGTTGGTGCTATTGAAGTTGTACAATCTTTCTTGAAGCGTGATTCAACTACTTTGGTCTCAGCCTGTGTGGCTGGGCGGCGCACACCATTACATGCTGCTTGCATGAACGGCCATGCGGAAGTGGTGAAACTTCTGCTCGAAGCACAAGCCTCTGCGATGGGTATGGATAGCAAGCAAGTGCAACCGTTGCACCTGGCAGCCCAAGGAGGGTCTTTAGAGGCTCGGAGAAGAACCGTTAAGGAGCTGTTGGTAAAAACATGGGTGCTGCGAACATGAAGGGACATGTTACATGTTCCAAAATCACTCTGGGTCCCCTGGTGAGTTGCAAAGTAAGAAGTGAACAAACTAGTCTTGAGATCTACCCCTTCTATGGCTCACAACCCATGGAGAAACAGTTTCAGGTGCTGGCGCTCCTGCTTGCCGCGCGTGCGAGGATGGATGCCACGACCAGAGATCAACAAACTGCCTTGCACTTTGCCGCGCGATCCGGTGCTCCTGGAGCCCTTGTGGAGGAACTTCTTGCTGCGCCCGTGTGGCGGGGCAAAGGAAAGAAAGGCCGCAGTCCTGGCGGGCATGAGGCGCTGAAGCTGGATGTCCAGTCCTCAGTTCGAAGCGACGTCGCTGTGGCTTTCCCATGTTGCAGCAGACACTCAATGAAGATGTCTTAGAATTGGCCAACCCGCCCCCCGCCCGGTTTTTTCAGCGTGGGAGGAAGGAGCTTTCAACTGCTTCCACATGCGGAACCGTGCCTTGCAGCCGCCGCAGTGGTCGACCATTCGTTGTTTGCTCATTGTTTACTGGCCCAGGCTCGAGATGCCTGGGGTCGTACTGCCTTGCACTGGGCGGTGGTGAATGGCCACAGGCGCTCCGGTGAGAAACGCCCGAAAACCCGATTGATGGGTTTGAAGCATGGAAAACATGTCATTTATCACCCACACCCACACACAGAGTCTAATATGTATACCTGGACCTTCAAACGGGTGCGAAACATGGAGATCCGCAGGTGATCTATCGGAGACCCCTTGGAAGGTGTTGGTATATCTTATTCGATATATTGCACACTGACTTCGTTTCATGGCCCCTTCGAACTGCTGGAGTTTCTGATTTCTCCCAACATTTCCCTCTACTTGTACCAGTGTGAACATCAACCAGCATCCTCCACGGCAGCAGCTCGTTCAAAGCACGTCGGACACCTCTCCTCCCTCCATGCCGATGGTTTGGTCGCTCAGATCAATGGTGCTGAAGCTGCTAGAGCTAGGCACGAATGTGTGCGACGGGGAAGAACTGAAGAGAGTGGCAGGGAGTCAAGCTACAAGGGGAAATGAAGGCTACACGAGTGGCAGAGGTTTCAGGTGTTGACCCACGTGCGACACGCAGGACACGTGGCTTCGTCCACGCATCGAGCGTAAGGGTTCGAGCTTTCAAGAAGGTACTTCACCTCTGCGGTGGTTGGTGCAGTGGTGTCCCTTCGTTGGAGCATGGCATCCGAGGAGAAGACAGCCCATTGAAGTTTGGTTGCCCATTTGTGGTGGGTGTAATGGGTCTTGCTTTCAGATCTAATGGGTCTTGCTTTCAGATCTGCTACTTCGTGCAGTGTTCTTCCTTATGTTGGCCCTCGACCTGCGGTCCCTGCGACCCTCACTTCAAATGAAGAACGATGGGACCCGACGCTGGCGCGCGGCGCGCAGCCGCGCCAGCGTGTTTACTTCACATCGGCCTGGATTGGAACTGTAGGACTTGCAGATGTGATTTTGACTTGTTCTTCTTTGTGAAAACCTCCGGACTCCGGATGCCGGACTCGAACTCGGATCCATGAAGAACATGGAGAAAAAGCCCATGGAACCAAGAAGAAGACATCTCTTCTGCCCAAAATTCCACTTCTTCCGTCTTCCCCCGAACCAAAGCCGGTTTCCTGGTGTGCGCCAGGCGCTCAGCGCTCGGTGCGGGACGCGCAGTCGGAGACGCCCAAGGACCTCGCGGAGCGCCGGGCGCAGTGCCGCAACGCCGAGCGGCCGGGCGACCTGGGAGCCTCGGCCCGGGAGCCGAGGGGAGGGAGCTGGTGCAGCTGAGTGAGTGGAGCAGAAGCTTTGAGTGGGGGGGGGGCAGGGGAAGGGATGGGGTTGGGGGGGTTTTTCTTTTACTTAAATTTGAAAGGGTTGAGGGTGATGGGGGGGAAGGGACGGGGATGAAGTGTTGAAGAGTGTTGAATGGAACAAAATCGAGTGGTTCAAGACAGAGATGAAGGGCAGGTTTGTAGATATATAGTTATTCTATGTTATTCTTGGATTATTCTGTGTATGTCATGTCTTAGAGGGTTAGGAGCTGACTGTGGGAGTTCATTTTGGTTGCCTTGCGCAGCCCAAGAACCTTGCAACTGATCCAGCTTGATTGAAGTTGAGTGTGTTTAGCTTGCTTGACATAAAATTTCCAACACATATAAATCACAGCCTGGTACTAGTATACAAGAACATCTTCCAGAAGCCTTTTTTTGTTGGTTTGTGAACATGTGCTCGTCACTTTTGGGGGCTAAAAGCCTAGAGCCGAGCAGATATCACTCTTGAGGTCTTTGGTGACATCGCTACTCTGCTGGGTGGCAGTGCAAGCACAGCGAAGACGTGAAAAGAGAAAAACCTGCGTCGCGTGGCGCAGCCTGGTGCGCTGGGGTGATGAAACCTACTGGGGAGGAGCGTCTGAGGTGTTGGGACGAATGACTCTGGCAGCTCCAAATGGGAGCTCCAGCAGCTGCTCTTTGCAGTTAGATGGTTCACATTGACTCCGAACTGTCCTATAGAACTTTGGTACGGCTCAACCATGTTAAACCGACCAACTTGGCTCTTGGACCTCTTCAATCGTTGCCAAAACCACCATGCTTTGTCCCAAGGGAAGGCCAAACCACGCTATGACATCGCTGCTGAGTTGCCCGGAGCAACCGCTTTGACATCCATGTCTGCAAACATGGGCATGATCGAATCCGGTCATGAGGAAGAATCACGTTCATCTCTTCAAGATGCCAGCGTCTATGCTATACCCGACTAACCCTGAAACTCTCTTGACGAGGCATCTTCCAAATCGTATTCCCATCAAACGTCCGTGAGCCAGACGCGCCGCATAGCCCGCCGCGGCATGGCTCGTGGGGGTCGGCGCTGCTTTCTCCTCGCCGCACTGGTAGTGCTGTGGTGGCCCAGTGCGCTTGAGCACAGGGCGCTGTGGTCCTCAGACGCTGATGTTGAAGCCTTCGCAGCACCCAAGAAACAGCAGGAGACCGGGCAGCAGATGTAGTGAGAGATCGGATTGGGTTAGTTTCGGACTTGGAGGAGAGATTGTGCCATATTGAGCTCTTTGGCTCATGTTGGCTCTAGAGCCGATGAACATGGCTTCACAGCCTCCAAAAAGAGATTCAAGGTGGCTCTTTCACAGTTTTGGCAGGCTTTCTTGACCTTTCTACGTCTTTTCGCAGTTTTACTGCGTTCCAGGGTGGTCGCGTGCAATAATCAGAGATTTGATAGACCCATGTTGCTTACAGCCTTCCTTGCCCTTGTACCGCAAGGAGATAGTCTTGCCGAAGGGTTTGGCCATGTTTGGCCGAGAGTTTTTTAGGGGGGGCTTTGTACCTTCGTGAGCAAAACATGGAGATGTTCGGTGACCTACCAATCGTACCTTTTCCTCATGACACGTGCAGATAAGCATATGTCCAGTTTCGGCCGTTCGCTACCTCGTCTGCACCGTGGAGCTTCCCTGTGCCTTTTCGCATCGATCCTTTCGTATGAGGCAAGCCTCTTTGAGGCCGCGACCAGCGCGCAAAAGTCCAAGGGCAGAGGAAGCTCAAAGAAAAGCTCCAAGAAGAAAGTCAGCAAAGGCGTGAAGAAGGAGGTGAAACCCTTCCCAGACAAAGCTGGCGATTCGTTCCTCCCTGCACAGGGGGCATGTGCCCTGGCCCAGATCAGAGAGGCTACATGGTGCCTGTCTTTCTTTAAATCCGGTGCCAATTGAGCCCTTCTCAGAGTGCCATGGGCGGGATGACCGAGCCAAAAACAGATCGTTTGTTTCGGTGTGAAAGGTTCATTTCGCGCTTCGCCATTTTCACCTCATTCTGATTAGGCATGTTGCGGCTCACTTCCAGTTTTGGATGGTTTTGTGGCCAACCCTCCTGGCCAAACGCTTGCCAAGGTTTTGAGACGCCAAGAACGCACAGCCAGTTGGCATCGATCGAGCCGATGAAGTCGATTGTCGATTGAGGTGTGGCTGGGGCCTTTCTGCCGGTTCAGTACCCGACGGAGCACCTGGATCTGGAGCAGATCTTGCAGCTTAGCTCGTTGGGTCGTTCTTTTTGGACGACGCGTTCGGGGGTGGACGTTTGGTTTTGTGACGTTGGCATCAGTGGCATCTGTTGTTGTTTCGTGTGGGCCCCTGCGCTGGTTCGAGCAATTTGGAAGATTGGAAGTGACGAGCATCTCGGAATTACGAACAGTTTCCCTCCCGCGCACCAGAGGGGAGGGAGTTCCTTCTTTTTCACTGTCGCGCCAGCTGCAAGGTTCCATTTCTACAAGGGTTCCATTCGGAAAGTCCTTTAGTCAACTCTTCGAAGTTCTTCAAGCACCGTCCCCTCCGATCCCCCTAGCGGCCCTAGCCCTTCGCTGGCTTGGCCGTCGCCTCGGTCCGAGGGGTGACGCGCCCAAAAGACCGGTGGCCCGTCCCCGGTGAGGTTTTCGCCGGACTCGGTCTTCAAGGTAGGCCTGGGTATCACCGTGGTGGGCTTCCTGCTGGGCTTCTCAGCTCGAATTGGAGCGTTCAAGGCTCGCGCTAACGAACGGAGGGCGCGCGGGTTTTCGGACGAGCAGCGGACATGTTATAGGCTGGATTCTGGCGGCAAAGAAGGACTTCTGTGTCCCCTATATCTAGGCTAGGCCTCAGACCTTCCAGGTTTCACACCAAACTTGTAACTGGCTCCGCCGATCGAAGATCGACCCACGGAGTCCGTCTCAACCGACCCGTCCGTCGAGAAAACGCCCACACCTGGTCCAAGGAACGAGGGTGATCGCGCGCTCGAGTTCTCCCACTCGCAGCTGCCCAGGATTGGTCTCGATCGTGTCGGTGACCATGGCCATGGAGGAAGGCCGGCTGGCGACGACGGGACCCTTTGGCGTGGCCACATGGCAGAGGGAGGGGATAGATTGGAACACCCGAAACATGGGAATGCAATGGAACGCAGATGTTTCATGGGGAAAAAAAGCACGGTGGGATAAAGTCTATGATAAACATTTGTCCTTTAAACCACCTCCCGATCTTTCGTTTTTCCCTCCTATTGGGTGTTGCCGAAAGCGGTGTTGCCGTGAAGTTGGCCGATGGCGAAGGGTTGGCCCCCACGAAGCGAAGCTCGAAGGGTTCAACTGGCTGGGCTCCCTGTGAGGGATTCAGGAAATTCTAGTCACTAGAACAGATGAAGGATGATGGTTCCGAGCAGATGGTCAAGTGAACCCGCCCAGAAAAAACATTGGCTGAGTGCTTGCATCTATTGGGGAATGGCTGTTTGTTGCGAAGAGATTGGGTTTGACTCAGCTTGCATGAGAGTTTCCATTGTTCTATTCAAGTTTTCGGTTTTATACCGTTCCTGCAAATATCCCTACCGTTGCTGGAAAAAAACTCTGTACCATCTGAACCCCCAAAGAACCTTTAAGTTCGGTGGTTTGGCTTTCGGATTTTGTGCATCGATAGAATGGGGGGTGCGTTTTGGGGCGAATGTCTTGATCAGATTTTTTCGGTGAAGACCTTGCAATACAACTGAGACCTACTGTGTGAGCGTGGTTCAGATATGTTCAGATGGTGTTTTTTTCCGCAACCCCACCCCCTGAGCCTTGTACAGATATTGGAGTCTCCTGAAAGAAGAAGAAACGTTGCTCGTCCCATTTTGTAGTTGGAAATGCCGACCAACAACTCTCCCCCAAAACTCTCTATGGAGGCAGAGGAGGGCGAAGTCTTCTCCTGAGGTTCGTTCGCCCACCTATACCGGCTTTCTGATCATGTGTGCTGGTGCCTGTGTCATGGCCGGTCTCAGCATCCCCCGCGCCGTCTTCACGCTGGCGCTGGGTGGTGTCCTGGCAATGAAGCTGGCCGAAGAGGAAGAGGCGCTTAAGCAGGCTCGACCGGAGGCGTGGGAGAAATACTCCAAGAGCCTTGGTGACCTCACGGGCATCGAACAGAGGAAGTGTTGTCTTTTTTTTTGCAGCATGTGAAAGCAAAAGCACTGGGCGGCCAAATCCCGGTCTTGAACTGACTGGACCTGGTGGTTTTTCACCTGGTTTTTCACTCACCCCGCCACCAGGCAGCCTAGGGGCTGCGCTGCGTCTCGGGTATGAAAGTTTTCAATGAGTCAATGGATACAAGAACAGAGACTATATGAGCCTATGTGGACATATAGAAGCATATCGACATTTTCCTGTTAGACGTTGGTTGTTGTTGCTGCTGCGGTTGGTGTTGGTGTTGTTGTTGTTGTTGTTGTTGTTGTTGTTATTGTTATATATTGCTATTATTCCAAACCCACACATTTACAATTCCAGCAGTTTTGGGCGATGCTTTGTGCGGTACACTGCTCTTGGACAGATTTGTGTCTGTCTTACTCAGGGATCCACTGCCACCTTCTCAGAACGTACGACTGGACCCTCCAAGCCTACATAAAAGTGTCTCCAATCACCCTGTCAGAGGGTATGTGATCCATAGGGTTAGAAGAGATCGAAGCAGTTGAGCCTCTCTGCGCCAAGGAAGGTCCCCTACAAGCTGCTGCCTTTTCTTTGGTGACCGAACCAGTTGAGCCTCGTGAAGCGTTTGGTCCAAAAAGCCGAGGAGGCGCTTGCGCTTGGGCTTGCGACACGACCTCCAACCTCATAGCGATGGCCTCCGACCTACTAGATACGATCTGCCTAGAAAGAAAACCAGGTCCTCGAGGTCCACGGTGCAGAACATGGTGGTTTTGATGGGTGTTTCACCTGGTTCGTGTGTTTGGAATTGTGTTCAATCTTCAAATATCGAAAGAAAAAACAACATACTTCAGTGGTGGAGATGCGGCATTTTCCATCGAAAACGACTTCCTGCAATCCTTTGCGTTTTCCGGCCCAAGCAGCTCCGCTTTTTCCCTCCCAAAGACATGTCAAAGCCAGGGCAATGGCTCCTGTTTTGGGATTGACTGAGGCCAAATGATGGCACGATATGTGGTCGAAATTGAAATCCATGACGAAGACAGGCAAAATGCGAGAGATGTTGTAATCCGGTAGGATCTTCCCAGATCATACCAGGATCATACCAGGATTGGATCGAAGATATACATCCCGCCTCACATGGGACCTTTGAACGCAGGGGGGCAGGGTCATGCTTTCTCTCCCGGCGCCATGGGACGCATGGGATTGGCCAGTCACCTTGCGACCACCGTCGCGGCGGGTCCGGGTCGTGACGCTGCCCCGTGGCTCGGACGGAAGAAGGGTAGACGCAAGAACCAGCAAACAAGGGCAACAGTACCAGCTTCAAAAGCTTCTTCTTGTAGTACCGAAGGTTGAGGGTTCCCAAGCCTTTGGGAGGTGTGGGGATGTGACTTGGTTCTCAACTGGGAGAAGCAGATGGGACGAAGCAAACCAACTCCATGTGACCCCTAGAATGCCATGGTTCTTCTTGGAAGAATCGGCCTTCACACCTTGTCCCCAAATTCCGGAAGCACTTGTGGCGAAGTGTGGCGTTTTTTTTGGGCGCCACAGTAGTCACGAGCGCATCGCTCGTGGTGACTACTGTGGCGTTCCGAACCCCCACGCCATGCAGCGTTGTCGTTGGCCTTTTGGACCCCAAACCAGAAACCATTGGACCAATGTGTTTTCTCTTTGTTCAACACGCCCGGTCCAATGACTCGACCTCGACCGGTCTGAGAGACGGAAAGACGGACGCCGATTGAGCCAACTGGGCTTCCTGACACGAGACGAATGGGGGATAGGCCATGCTGCCATGCCTTGGGACCATGGCACAAGAAGGTCATTTGAGACCTTTCTGGCAGTTCCTTGAAACGATCCATTCCAGAAATAGAGGCACCGACACCAAAAGTACCTATCTTTTACTCAAGAGGTTTCGGACGCGGCCCGGACGGATTTTCGGACCTTTCGTGCTGAGTCCACACGTCTGGGTTTGCCAACACATCTGGCCAAAGTCGCCTGGCACGTGGAGGAGGGCCGAAACCGGTGCGAGCCGAAACCGGGAAGGTCAAATGCATTCAGCCACACAGTTCATTGACACCTGAAGTCCCTGGAAGTGAATGAGGGCTTGGCAGAATATGGATCATTTTCTGCCATTCCATCCACTTTCACATAGGAGTCTACACGATCTGAATGTGATGATCAGGGACCTGAAGACCGATGTGTCACAGGATGAAAAGCACGGTGAAACATATAAGCTGAAGACCAAGGAATGGCCATAGCCAGACGGCCTGCTGACGCTCCCTGCTGACCTCCAAACTTCAGTCACCTTGCCGAGTCACGACGTCCGCCGACAGCGGTCTAGATCGAACGCTGGTCGCGACGTCAACTGCAGGAGTTGCCGTATCGATCTTGGCGTTCTGGAAGTGCCTTGGCGTTTTCCGAATCTGTGCCGCGTGAGCGTGACGTTGGAGGATGACCCCCCGTTTCCTTGTTTCTTCCTGAGACACACAGGAGACACGCAGACATGAGAGACACCGACCCGTGTCCAAACATGAGAGAGACAAAATCCTCACTGTACGTCCAAACAAGGCAAAAAACCACCGCAGTCGTGCCGAAAAAATCCGAGTTGCCCCGGCTCTCCCAGCTGACCTTTCCTCGTGCGAGGCGCGCAGCCGTCGAAGCTCGGCTGCGGGGCGTGCGGCGCCGCGCGGGGGGCTTTGCAACCACGCAGCAAAAGCCGAAGAGCAAGGAGAAGCGGCCCAGATGCAACGAAAGGTGGAGTGGGCTATGGCAAACGGGTGGAAGTTGGGGGGGGAAGGTCTGTTCCGACATCGGAACCGAAGGAGGGACAGTGGACAAACCACACATAGGTTCAGCTCAGAGCCATATATATATATATATTTGTATTCTCGGAGTCCGAGTGTCTAATGAGAAATTGCAGGAGATGGTAATTCTGAGCCTTTGCTGTAGTCTTTAAAAAGCCTGAAGAGACCAGTCATTGTTTCTTTGCAGAATTTGAGGTTACCAGAACTGTAGAGCTCAAACATGCTTGCTCTTACCCTGCAGGTCCAGTCTGACCCAGGACTTCATGTTTTTTTGACCGATATTCTCCTGCAAAGTGCCGTCAGTTCCTGACCGGTAGGGCTGTTTCCTCGGATTCTTCAAGTGCAGGCCCTGAACGCCGAGGTACGGCCCCCCCCGACGGCTTCGCCGCCGAGAAGAGGCTCAGGAGCCGACGTGACGTTGTGGCTGCCTATGACCCAACACGACGTCCAGCGATTCCGCAGCTGAAGGATTTTCCAGGCAGCTTCGTGGGCTTTGGAACCCAAGCCACCCCACTCCGCCCCATGTTCGTCCGCAAAAACACGCCGCACGGGTCGTCGGGACCCGTCTCGTTTCCTCGCCTCGCAGCACGGAGACCCGGGTCGTCTTCTTCGACCCGGTAGGAGCTGGTTGAAGGATCTGGGAGCCTCTGGCTTGGACCTGGTGGAGCTGGGCCGAAGTGCAGGCATGCAGAGTCATGGGTCAGAGGTATGGAGCCAGGTTCGCCAAAAAGTAGGCAGGGTCGGTTTTTGGAAGTCCCCGCAAAAACTGGTGGAGAGGCCTGGTGTTTCAACACACATATGTCAATTGATTAAGACCACCCGCATTTGGATGCGCTCACTTGCGGTCCTTGAACGCTTCTACGTTTTACAGCGGGTTTGAGAACAGTTGGTGAGAAATCTTGAGTGACCTATGTCTACCAGAAAAGTATGTACAATCGAACGAAAATGCATTGAGGCCGGGGCATCCAAAGACGAAAGAGCACAAAGAACGAACAAACCGGCACCGGGCCCCCCCTAGGTTCCCAAGATCTCTGTTAATTACCCGCATTTGGATTGTAAAACCTTTTCGCTATCTCCCTCATCTCCCTCATCCACGCACGACACCCCAGGTGGAATGGAATGTCACTGTGGACACGGTCTCAACAGCACACTTGCAGCAAATTAAAATGATAACACTGGGAATTCCCAAGTGGAGAGTTGCTTCGAGCAGCCTCCAATGAGCAATTCCCCAAAGTCAGCAAGCTCTTCAAGTAAGAGAAAAAACGAACTGCGGCGCCAACAATCGATCCTTGAGGTAAAGCACGACCCTCAGTCTTCAGCCGATACTGATCTGTCTGTCCAGGGAAGATTCCATGGTTTGGAATCTTGTTCAAGAAGACCAGCACTCGTTGAAGCCAACAATTTAGGTCTCTGAACGAAGCATTCCTGAAGAACATGAATCGAGGAAGAAGCCACGCTTCCAAAATAAATATGTGAACTCAATGTAAGCGGTGCAAACCGAGTCAGATACATACCACTCAAGAGAGTTGGTAAAATCAGAAAAAGTTGCCAGATCCCTTGGATCAAGGTGAGACGACCATCCTAGCGGGTCGACAATGCGCACTTTCGACGTCCAAGAACATCATTCAGCTGTCTGATTCCAATTCCATCGGGGGAAGCGATCTTCTGGTTCCGGTTCCGGATCGGGCAAGGCCTGTGTGACCTTCCGATAAACTGATTGAACCGAGCGAGAAAGACCTGACGTTCAAAAACAGCGTTTGAACATGCACAAAGAATTGGGGGTCAACTGGGGCATCAACCAAAGCAGCTTGTTTAGCATGCCAATCTGCACATCTATTCATCAGAATTCACTCCTTAGTGGTATGATGCCTTGAAGCCAATTCCTCAGTGACCAGTGCATCACAAAGTCCATCAGCCACATGTGATGGAACCCATCATATGAGCAGCGGATCAAGTGAATCTGGCCATCTGCAAAGCAAAATATCCAGAATACGATGCCACCAATATGGATGTGACCTCTTCGGGTTGATGCGGCGATTTGCACAAAAGCATCAAGCAGGGTTTTCAGAAGCAGGGTTTTTGCAAGTAATTATAGTATAAAGCACCTATACAGCATCTTCTGGTCGAAGCTCGTGCAAGTGTTTATTTTGTACAGAAGAAACGACCACCGGCACAGGTCTTGCTGCACTGTTCCGAGTCCCAAGTATTCAATCATTCCTTTTAGAGGAGAAACACCCC